CTCCAGTCCCCCCATCCAGGACACCACGTCGCTCCACCTCTTCACAGCACCTGCCATCAGAGGACACCTGTGCCAGCAACCGTCCTGAGGACCACCGCACGGCCCACCGCCCAGGCACAACACTGGCCGCACCGTCATCGCTGAGAGCCGCCCTTCAGTATCCCCACGGTGAGTTACAGAAGCCCACCCCTTCTTCACCCACCACTGCATGCCTCACCCCCTCGCTTTTGTGTCTCCATCTGCCTTATTGGGTTTAATCGCTACGCCACCCTGGAAAAGGGTGGACCACTCCCACCACTACTCCACTCCATCCGCTTCACCGCAACCCGACGATTACAAGCGAATGCTCACCCAGCCTTAGGTGAGTACATCACCAACGCTTACACCCTGCTCTACCACATTTATTGCGCCAGGTAGTGGCGCTTCCGTCTCCAATTTTTTGTTTTTCTCTACAGCACACTCATTATAGTAGATGTATGCTGTACGCCAGAGCCCCGCTGTTGGAATGTATACCTGAAATGTAAACACTATTCTACCCATCAATAAGATACATGTATCACCTGTAGTTGTCAACCTATTGTACTAATATGATATCTATAGCTGAGCGGCACTACCACTTTTTCTTCTGTCTCTGTAACGAGTGCCCAACAGTTTTGTACGTTCGGAAATAACACCTTATCGATCAAACGCCATGACTGACAGAAGAAGACTCTCAGTGGTGCCCAGAAACAAAAGGAAGTACATCTGCAGGAAACAGCCAAGGAAGGAAATGGAGGCTCCTCTATGAAGAATGCCGGCTAGTAGCTTGGGAACTGACACTGTAGAGAAAGAGATGTCCACTACTGACAGGTTCCCCAAGAAAAAGTACATAGGTGTGTGCAACTGTGGAGAAAGTTTAATAGAAGTTATTAAAAGTAAGTTACCAGTCCATGTGAGGACGTATATGACCAGAATGGTGGAGAAGAGAGCGGCATGGTTGTAGTGAAGGTCAGAGAAGCACAGAAGAACAAAGTCGGAGGTTAGATTGACTTTTTCCATCACAAATGATCCAAAATGTCATTCACGCTGATTCAGACGATGATACCAAATTCTCTGAGTCCACTTGTACACTTATTTCTATCTTCTTACACCGTTCCTGACAACAGACATGAGAAATAACATTTTATATCACTGTTTATATATTTTTAAATGCATTAAACCCTTAATAACATCTACCTAGTTAGCCAGAAGCATTTCCTTAGGAAAGCCATTTCTCATTTTCCATCCTCTTCCAGAACAGTGTCTTTGAGGCTGATGTATAACACGTTTGTCCGGCGTATAGCTGAGCAAATGCAGTTTGCAGGTATTATTGCCACTAGATGCATTCGGGGAGCACTGCAAAGATAATTTCCTCAGCAAAGATCATTCACTCAGCTATATGTTGAGCAAAAATGTTAAAATGTGTCTTATGCCATGACACTAAAGGGAACTTGTGGCCCCAAGAAAAGAAACCACTTTTTAACCCAAAATGTATGCATTTCCGGGCCCTGATGTCTCGTAGATTGCCTGGGGAGTGTTGATGCCCAATTTGCTTTTAAGTGTAACCAGCCTTAGGCCTGGTTCACACCTGGGGGGTTTTCAGCGCTGATCAAAGCGCTGAAAAACGCTCAGCAAGTGAAATCCCATGAATCCCTATGGGCATGGTTCCCACCTGGGCGTATTTCAGTCCGTGGAAACGCGCTGCAAAACGTCCTACGTCCAAACAAGTACAGGAGCTTCTTTGGGGCGTTTTTCCGCGCGTATCCATTGGTATTTCCAAGTGTGGATCGGGGTTAACAAAGCGGTAACGTCAAGCCACACTCGGGAATACAGCGTAGGACTTACCTTGTCCGCGATCCCCGCTGTGTCCTCCGGCCGCGGCTGACTTCCAGGTTCCGTCCCTTGGGAACGGCTGCGTCGCAGGGGGGCGTAACCGGTGGGAAGTTTGAAAGTTAAAAAAAAAAAAAAAGATAGAGAAAATAAAGGAAAAAAAAATCATACTGCCAGGGAGGTATAAAAGCGAGCATCGAACGTGCGTTTCACTGAACGAAAAAACGTACAAAAAAATGAGCAGAAAAAACGCGCCTATAGTACGCCCAGGTGTGAACCCAGTCTTAAGCTTCTGTGGTCACTGGCAGCAGCCTGGCTCCCCCCTCACTTCATCCTTACTAAAAACTAGTGTTTACATTCATCACATCACATGAGGAGGCTTAATGGAGCAAGCCAGAATCAGTGACCACAGAAGTTGGATAGTGGTTGCATTATAGAAGGTACCGGAGGTACTCACACTTTGATGCGATTGGTGGTTTACTCTTGTTTTAGGGCCACAGATTTTACCTTTAAGTGTTCAGCTTTTCACCATATTTACTGTGCCCCAGGCTACTAGCACCATGCCAACTAGTAGAAAAACCTCTAAATATGAGAAATATTATTGAGTGATCTTGGCTCTTTGAGGACTCATGGATGCAAAATATTTGATGCAGGTGCATTATACTCATTTGGTGTGTCTAGTTGTTTTTGATGTGTCATTAATAAGACAGTGTGGTACAATAATACTACAATGACATTCTTCATCAGCACAATTATGTACCATCATATGGAGCTAACGAGAGTGAAAGAAATTTGAAAAAATTGCTTTTCCTTTGTCTACACAAATTTTGTTAAAAAATGTTCTCTGGATATTCTTTTGATTTTCTAATAGTTAATGAGGCCAAATTGATGATCGTTTTGATAGTTTTTTTTGCAATGTTCTAACAGGGAATGCGGTTCTTGTTGGGAAAACTCCATCCATTTCTTAAACATTTTGAACAGCATTTGTCATGTTTCTGATGGCATTATGAAATGCTCTGGCCTTATTTTTGTATGATCATTCCTAAATCCACCAGTGCACCAAGCACTTTACACTTGGACTCTGGGCAAGCAGTGAAACTGCAAAAGGATTTTTGTTTCTGTCCAGCCAGTCCAGAGATTTTTGCAGCATGCCAAATAGTAGAGCCCAGATGGGTGACCAAACTTTATTGCAACTAAGCAATACAGCTCGGTCACCTCCAGGCCTGCAGCCTGTGATTGGAAGATGGAACAATGTATTATTATTATTATTATACAGGATTTATATAGCGCCAATAGTTTGCACAGCGCTTTACAATATAAGGAAGACATTACAGTCACAATACAATTTAAGACAAGATGGTAAGGAGGGCCCTGCCCCTGAGGGCTTACAATCTAAAAGGGAGGGGCAAGTGATACATGAGGAGGTAGCTGCGCGGGGATGATTGTTTGAGAAAGTGATTGTTCAGTGTTAGGGTGAGGTGGGATAGGCTTCCCTGTTCGAAAATGTACCCAGTTCAAAATGTACTGTCCCTCTCCCAGATCGAGTGCACAGCTCCCAACTGTCACTCTTTTTAAGGGACTGTCACTCTTTTTGGAACCAAATCCCACTGTCCATTTTTTCTTCTCATTTGTCTGTCATTTAGTTGTGATGTGCAGACCACTATAAAAAAAAAGTTACATAGGAAAAGTGTTTTACTACACCAAACCATTCGTCCACCCCAAACTAAATAATTGGTTATTATTCTGGGGGGGAAAACAGTATAAAGGAATAATGAGATGATGATGATGATGATGATGATGATGAAAATAAGCCTTAGTCAGTTTAACCAGTCATTTTTATTTTTTTTCCTATGCACTTTGTGCTTTACTGTGTCTCTAAAATTAGCATGATGGAGATCTAAATGGCGACAGTGCAAAGCGAGCAATACCTCATTGTGTGGAGGGGAAGCTGATTGAGCCGCGGCTAGAAGATCATGACTATAACTGTATGTAGTCCGGATTAGTACAGTGATTGTCTGTTGCACCAGTAGCCCTCCACATATCAGATATGGATACTTACACTGAGCCAAGCTGGACCAATGTAA